GGTGCCGCATTGTCTGTAACATAAAGTCCAAATTTCCTCACAGGTCCTGCAAGGCCCTCAGAACCCTTTTCCAACCATCCTCTGCTCCCTAACCAGGCAGCTCTCCCTGCCTGCATGCCTACCCTTCTGCCCTTTCCCAAACCCAGCACTTCAGACCTCTCTGTGTCCTGGGGGAGCTCCTCAGTGCCTGCCTGACATCTCCCACATGTACCTCTCCAGCCTGGACCTTGCCTCTTAATTCTAGGATCACATTTACATCCCCAAACCAAACTCATGACTCCTGCCCCTCCTGAAGCTTCCCTATCTCAGTCTATTCTAGCCGAGCAGACTCAAAACCTTGAAGCCGCCTTTGGCTTCTCTCTTTCTCTCGTGTTACAAATTATATTGGCTTTGCCCACAAAATCCGTCTCCTTTCCTGCCCTCTTCCCTCAGCCTCACTGCCTCAGGGCCTTTGCACTAGCTGTTTGTTCTCCTTCACGGCAAGATCCTGAGATGCTCTTCTCTCAAACAGCTGAGCTTCCTCACTTTCAGCTCTCTGCTCACATGTTGCCTCTTAAAGGAGCCTTTGCTGACAAATGTGTATAAAACGGCACTCCCTGCCCTGCCAGCACCCCATTCTCCTGATCCTTTTGTCTTTCCCATATTGCTCCATGACCTATTTTATCTATTTGTGTATGTCCTGGTTGACCCCTCTAGGGTGTTAACTCTGTGTAGGTGGGGACTTTGCTTTGTTTACCACTGTATTCATATATTTGTTATATGAATGAATAAACTTTATTTTTGATTTACTTTTAGAAAGAGGGGAAAGGAGGGAGAAAGAGAGAGAGAGAGGGAAACATGAATCCATTGCCTCTCACACACCCCCAACTGGGGATCTGACCTGCAACCCAGGTATGTGCCCTGCCTGGAAATCAAACCTGGGATCTTTCAGCTTGTAGGCCAGTGCTCAATCCACCGAGCCACACTGAGCCGCATCTCAAGTTTAATGAATAAACTTGAGACTTACTACTTACTACCTTTTTAAAAATTTTCTAAGACTAAATGGCATCTTCATTTATATAACTTTAGCATCCTTTTATGTCCTTTGAAACATTTGGTGCAACTGAAATTAGAAAATTGTACAACGTAAGCTCTATCTTGGTCACAACTGTATTTCAAGTCCTGTGTCACACACTAAATCTGTGTTGAATGAATGAAAGCAAGCCAGAATGCTGTCTGGAAAACTGATCAAAAGTAGGTGCTTGACAGAGGGACTGAGCCCTGGGCTAGACATAGGGATGCCTGGGGTTTCACCCTACCTCTCCTACTAACTTACTGTTTGACCTTCAGTCAGTGACTGTCTTTTCCTGGGTCACAGTTTCCCCAGCTGAAAAATGAGGAGCAAGATGGCTCTACTCAGGATGAGCCATTACGCCAGGAGAGACTGTGATTCCGGAAACCAGCACCCCAGCTTGGTGCCACTGCAGGCCCGTGGCCTTGGGCAGGACAGCAGGGCTGTGCTGAACCACCAGGTAAAGATTTTGCCTGGGGACCTCCGATGGCAGGCCGGGCTCCGGGCACAGGGCCAGCCCTTGAGTTTCTTGGCTGAGCGAGTGGGCAGCAGGAGGAGGTGATTGATCTTCCCTGCTGGGTGGTCCTGGCCATAAATCTCACTGGTCCAGCAGAGTTGCCTAGGACCCAGGAGTTGCAGCTAGCACATTCCTTGGCTTGGCTGGCTCAGAGGGGTGCTTTCTGCCCCTTCCAGCTTCAAGGCACAGGGCCTTCTAGAGTGGTGAGCACCCATCTGATCTGACCATAGCTCCCGCCCTGGCCTGCGTCCTTAAAAACTTCTGTCTAGAGAGTGTCAATCTTTCTCCAGGTCTGACCTTGAGATCACTAGCATTGCTTTGAGCCAAACTGCCCAAGGCTTCCAGGTGATCCAGGACTTCTTAACCTTTTCTGTGCCTTGAGTGGTCTGAGCAAGCCTAGGCACCCCTTCCCAGACTGGAGGTTTTTAAATGCATTCAGTAAAATGTGTAACATTGCAAAGGAAATCAATTATACTGAAATACAGTTATCAAAATATTTAAAGTATAAGTTTGTAATATGGTGAGTTATGTGTATTTTTATACTGTGTGAAATAACACGACCCAGCAGAAGGTCCAGTGGCTGTTATACACCCACAGTGATGAGCACCAATGGCGTCTCCAGTTACCTGACACAACTGTATGGTGATAGAAAAATATCACAGAGGCACTTTGTTTTGATGCCTTCATTCCTAATGGAAGAAGATGGTAACTTTCAGTTAGAGGTTAGTGAATAACAGATGTGATGTATTCCCTGAGCAAGTTCATGAAGCCCTGAGTTCTGTCCATGCACCCTTGTGAAGGGATTGCTGAGTCAAAGGGGAACCGGGCAAATGAAATGCTGAGTCTGAGAGGAGACACAGTCCTCACAAGCCCCCTTCCTCAGAACCTGATTACGACATGAAAATCTATTATAATCTGTTAACAGAGTCACAGAGTCACAGGCTTCCAGAGCTGCAAGGGCCAGACCCCTTATGCAGATGCCCCTGCTGGATGAGTTGTCTCCTTGCTTCTGCTTGTGCACCACTAAGGATGGGGAGTTCACTCTCATTCTGAGACTGGACAGCTCCAACTTCTCTGAGGTATGATGACATATAGAGATGAATCAGATGGAGGCTATGTCCCCCCTCCCGCCCCCGGCTAGAGGATAGAAAGAAAGAAGGAACCAACACAAACTAAAATGCTACTGCTATCTGTCAGGCCAGAGGTAGGCACTGGGTATACTGAGACTTGCTGCCTTACAGTGCTTTCTGGGGGTGCACTCAGGCGTGGTGCTCAGTACCTGGTGCTGGGGTGACAGAACATGATGCCTTCCCTCTGGGGAGACAGACATTAAGGGAGTGAACACAGAAACCAATATGTAATTGCAACTGGTGATTAACAGCTATAAAGAGACGAGCAGGGAGGACTCATACAAGGAGAAGGACTCACAAGAGGAGTAACTTCATATGGGGAAGAGAGGAGGTCAAAGCAAGCTCCTTGGAGAAAATAGTAATTTAGGCAAGACTTAGAGGAGCTGGCAGCATCTGCCAGGCAAATGGGACGGGAATTCCAGGGCAGGCGGAGGGGAGAGCAAGTGTGGGGAGGCCCTGATGCAGGTAAGAGCTGGGCTACTGCTGACTGACAGGAGGCTCTGGGGCCACAGGAGGCTGGAGAGGAAGGTAAGGGCAGGGCATGGAGTCTTCAAGCCCCTGCGAAGGAGTCTGCATATTGTCTGAAGAGCTACTGGAAGCTGTTGCGGGGTTTAAGCAGGATCTGTTTGAAAGAATCAAAGTCTCCAGGTGCTCTTAGGCTTGCAGCAAAGACCTTAACAAGACAAAATATTATAAGAATGAATGAAAAAAAGCTTTTATTTCTGTGCTCAAAACATCCTGCTTTCCCTCCGGCTGAGCTCTCTGCCTAGATGCCTTCTTGGGGCTGCTTTTCTGCTCACTCCAACAATTCAGCCAACTTTTGTCCTAGCACCACCTCTTCCAGGATGCGGGCCTGAACAATTCAGTCCTCTGCAATTCCCCACAGCACAGCCCTGAGCATGCCATGCTCACTGTTCTCAGCATTGCTGCTTGCATGATAGTGCCCACTCTCCCTTCCTCCAAACCATCCCGGATGGGGGTGAAAGTGAGGGGCTGGAGGGAGGGGAGCTGCAGAATCTTTAGCTGTAAATTGTCCCCCCCCCACACACACACCCGCCCTCTGGGTCGTCTGGGATTGGAGCTGAGCTCTGCCACCTGCTGGCAATAACTGGAATGGCAGGCAAGGTGCCGTGGGGAGAGAGGGGACTCAGGGGAATTAGGCCCACTTGGGCTTTTCTGAAGGGTAAGCCCACGAGGTTTAGCTAGACAGGCCTCTCCAGAAAGCCTGATGATGCCAGATGGCAGAGCTGGGCTGGGAACAGGAAGAAGGAACTGAGCATTGGCGGAACAGCAGCTCAGAGATGAGGACACAAGGTCCAACCCCACAGGGCTCCTGAAGCCTGAGTCCAGATGTTGGGTCTAAGCCAGACCAGCAGGGGGGCCCAACTTGTTGCCATGGGGACCCATGGCCGTGTACATACAGCTGGGGAACTGACCCCTGCCATCAGCTGAACGAGGACACCCAAAGAGCAAGGACCAGCCTCAAAGCCAGTGTCCACCCACACCCCCCCCTTCCGGAACAGCTTGTTTTGCTCTAAAGCTTGGGACTTTGACCTGGGAGGTGTATTTTCCTCTTGTTGGTCACCTGATGTCCTTCCTGCTTATCTCCCTCCCCCATCATCCCCAAAGTGTGGCTCAGGGAATCCTTCCCCTTCCCCAGGAGTTTTAGGGATGCTCAGGTGAGGGAGGTAGGACCTGGGACTTGGGGACTGATGGGAGAGGCTGGCTGCTCCTGTGAGTCACCAGCTGGTAGGGGCTCACAGGAGTTACTTCCCTGCCCATGTCTTCTTGGATGTCTCCTTTCTGGGTTTCTGGAGCACCCCCTCTCCTGGGGTTCCTTCCTCCTGCTCCATCCTGACTCCTCTTTGATGAAAGACCCTCGTGTGTTGGGGCGGTGTCCTGGCCTCTTGCTGCTTCCTTCCTTTCCCCTGTTCCCCTCTCATCACACGTGAATGCACACACATGCATGCACACACACCCCGAGAGACCATGCACTCTCATGCCTCAGCAACTTGCACTGTGCCACAGATAGCTCCTAGGTTTTGCTCTCTGCTCCAGGGATCCCACTGCCTTCTGGACATTTCCTTCTGGAGGGGCAGCAGGCACCACAGGCATGATATTCCTAAGCCTGTAGCTCATGGTTCCTCCTGAATTCTGAAACTTGCTCTGCCTTGTCCTAGGCACCACCATTCACCAGCCACCCAAGTCAGAATCCGGGAAACGCCTGCAGCTCCTCCCTGTTTCTCACCACCCACACCAAGCTAGTCACTGTCTTCTAGCAACCACATCCCATCTATTGTACCTCTTCCAAAGGCTTCAGATCTGTTCCTACTGCCACTGCCCTGATGCAGGCCATCGCTGTGGTTGTGTGACTGCTGTAGCAGCCTCCCCATGGTCTCCCTCTCTCCAGGCTTTGTATTTCCTTTTCATTCTCCACTCACTGCCTAGAAGTGTTTTCTCAAATGCAAACCTGACTGCATGACTCCCCTTAAAACCCTTGAAGAAGACATTGTGGATGTTTGTTAAATTCAACCCTGATCCTTGCATTCCAGGCAGTGATTCTGTGGCTGTTCATTAACATGCATGGTGCCTACTCTAGACAAATTTTGTGCCAGAAGATTCTGAGGACATTAGGTTGGGGTAGAGAAGCAGAACAGGTCATACATATATGAGAGGTGCCACTTGACTCCAAGCCAAGTCTCCCTCGATTGCCTTGAGACACCCCATCTTTGGGTGGAAGTGGGCCTACTGCACTGCCCTGTGCACACCCCACCCACGTCCATGCCCAGACACGTATAGGAAGCAGGGACAAGCCATGATATCCAAGTGCTGCCCCGAGAAGACCTGTTCTACATAGAAAGAACTGCCCAGGAGGTCCTGTGAACAGCAGCTTGATGGCTTCTGGCCAGGGAAGCTGGGGAGGGGTTTCTAGCTCATGCCCTGGATTCTGGCAACCCTCCGTCTCTAGGATTTCACCCTGGTCTGCTGGCTCCTTCTTTCATGGTATCTAAGGAGCTGGACTTTCAACATCTCTGGCTTCCCATACTCCTGGTCCTGGGGAGTGGTGGGACAAGGAGACCCAGCATAACCCTTGACCCCAGGCCTTGACAGGTCCTTGGGTCATTCTTAGTTCCTGAGCTGGAAGGCCTGATGGACTCTGTGTGATCCTGAGGGTTGAGGGCCTAGGAATTCTGGCCCTGCATGGGGCCTTGCCACCTGAGGGTGTCTGTTCTTTGCCCTCCACAGCAAGGCTGAGTTTTGCCACTTGTATTCCTGTGGTGGGTGGAGGTGAATCAGAGGTGTGTGTAAAGACTTCTGACCAAGTCCAGATCCTGTCCCAGGGGGGTTCCACCCAGATTCCAGGAACCACATGTGGGGCCAAGAGGAAGAGCTGAACTGAGCCAGGTTGGCGGGGCTACGCAGGGAAGGCTGGGGACTGGGAACCTTAGGCCCTCTGTGGTGACCCCCATGGGAGAGGGTGGATTGAGAGAGCTACTGAGCTGGGCCAGGAGCCAGCGCTGTGCAGGACTGTTCCAGGACTGTGTCCCAGGACTGGGTCTTGGCTGAGTAGGGACAGGTGAGGGGAGAACAGTAAATAGGACAGGTTCCGTGGGAGGGGACAGCTTTGACCTTTCTCTAGCCTCTGGGGTTTCCCCACTCTCTCCCAGCCAGCCAGCAAATGTCTTAATCCTACTGTCTGCCTTCCAGGAGGCCCCACCCGTTGGATTCACTGTATGTGTCACCTCTTATCCCAGAGCCCAGCCCCTCAGCCAGGAAGGGGGGCCTGATGTAAAAACTCCAGGAAGGTCTGGGGCTTGGAGGGATGGCCCCCGACTCTCCCCATGCTCCCCTGGTCCACAGACCCACCTCCTTAGCCAGCCTTCTAAAGGTGACCTCAAATGCCAGCTCCTGTGGGCTGGGCCCTGGCCAGGGAGGCCAGGCCTGGCAGCTCATTACCATGGGAGGGAGGGCAGTTTCTCTCCACTTTCCCTCCTCCTTCCCCCCTCGCCTTCTTCCTTACCAGTTCCTCTTGTCCGGGGCCAGACTGAGCTCGGGTTGATCTCAGCTCACACCAGCAGCCCCCACAGCTGCTCTAGGAGCCCTGACACCAGCAGCCAGAGGGAAGGCCCAGGAGCTGCCTGCAGCCATGTCAGCCCTCAGCCTGGTCATTCTGGGTCTGCTCACAGCGGTGCCATCTGCCACCTGTCAACAAGGTTAGCACAGGACTGAGCCTGCAAGGTGGCTGTGTGGTGTGGATGGCTGGGCTGGGTGCTGGCAACCCAGGTGTGGATGGCGGGGGGGTGGTCTTGTGACCTTCATCACCACCTTTGACATCTGTAGCTTGGAGGAGGGAACAGGGGCTGGGCTGGTGGAGGGACCTCCAAAGGCAGAGACCTCAGAGCCAGGCTTCTGCCTGTGACTTGTTTTCAGCAAATGAGAAATGCAGGCAAGAGGGGAAATTTGGGTCTCGGATTGGGGAGAGGAGTTGAGAGCCAAGCTCTAGGAGCAGAAATTTCCCTAGAGATGGCTGCGTCCTGAGAACAGGGGTCAGGGCTGCAAAGAGGGTGACAACGGGGCCCGACCCCTTGTGCCAGGAAGGAGCAGAACTGTCACTGGTTTGCCCATGGCTTTGGCCTAAGTTCTTCTTTTGGTTTCTTGGTAGGGGACAGTGCCCCGGTATGGTCCCCACCATATACCTCAGCTCTTTGTCCAGCTCTGCCTCTCTCTTGTTCTGTGGCCTTGAACAAATCACTGCCCTTCTCTGAGACTCAGCTTCCTCATCCACCTAACGAGGACAATAAATCCACCCTGCCTACCTCCCAGGGTGGCTGCTGCGTCAGGGGTGTGGGAGGGCTTGGCACCGGAGAAGCACCACGCCCCAGGATCTGTCTGCCCTGCATTGTAAGGGCACTTATGTAGCCAAAGTCTGGGGACTCTGCAGGTGGAATTTGGGTCCAGAGGGGGCTGGCAAAGATTCTTGCAGGGTGCCCTCCTAGGCAGGTACCCTGAGCTCTCCTACACATCTGCGTCAACTCTGTTTCTGGGAAAGCTTCTTGGAAATTGAAGACCAGAGGGGTTGAGTAACTTGTATGGATCACAGAGCAGAGCAAGAGGGACAGGGGTCAGATCACTTGTCTCCTACCCCATGCTCTGTCCCTTGCTCTGTGTCTCACCCTAGAGTCCAATGGAGGAAGAGGCTGGGACTGTAGCCTCTGGTGTACTTGGAGGGAGCTGGCTGCAGAGTTTGGAGGAAGCAAGGAGGGGCCTCCCAGGGCTTGAGCATTAACTCCTGATTCTTGAGCAACCACTAACCTGAGGAAAAATTGAGTGTCAACTGTTGTGTTTTGGGGGGTAAACAATGAGCCAAAAACATTGATTTTTGGCAAGTATGGAACTCAGAGTAAACACATTGTGAATCTTTTGTTACCCAAGGAAAGAAGCCAGATCTGACCTGGCCACAGAGTTCCGAGACCCTTCCCTACCTCCTTCTCAATACCTGCCAGGCTCAGAGGGGGTTCAGAAAAAGCCTTCCCTACAACAGGAGGGCTTTAGGGTAGACTCAAGGAAGGACTTTTGAGTGAGGGGGAGGCAGAATAAGATTTCTGATGCCCAGGCCGGTCCCTCAAAATACAGGATGGCAGTAGGATGCAGGTGTTTTGGCCTGGAGGCAGGACCCTCTGAAGCCTCCTGTTAGCTTCTGTGCCCTCTGAGACCTCTGCTTGCTGCTGTGTGCATGTCCTCTGGAGGGGCCAGCTCCCTCAGGCTCAGAGAGCACAGTGATGTGCAGGGAGATAAGAGCCCTCTGAGGCTGCCAGTGGCTGAAGGCAGAGACTTCTAGGAAACTTTGAGGGTTAGAGTTGGTGTCAAGAGTTGAATTTAACTCTTAAGGGCCAAAAGGCAGAAAGAGGGCCTTGACCTGTTCTCTGGTCTACTCCTGGGCACCTAGTGCGAGGAGCTGAAGGGGGCCAGGTTTTGAAGCTTTTTTCCTGGCCCCCAAGACCCAGAGGAGAGCCTCTCTGTCTTGCCTTCAAAGATGTTCTGTCCCACCCCTCTCTCCAGGCACCCCAGCAACCCTAGCCCGGCCTAGGTCATTCCCATGCCCTACCCAGCACCAGAGAACCCTTGTCACAGAACAAGATCTTCCAGATGCCAGCCCAGTGGTATCAGCCCTGGCCTGCCCCAGCCTCTGGGAGTTGGGGAGGAGGGGAGCCACTCCTGGTTGGCGGGACCCAGGCCAGCTCTCCAGGGGGCTGCCCTTTTGGTCCCTGGAGCCCAGGCACTCCCTGGGGGGCCCTGCATGTGATCCGTGATGGGGGGGTGTTGTTCTGGGCTATGTGGACCTCAGACATAGTATTCTGATGTTTGTTCCCTCTTCAGCTCCTTGTTCCTTCTTTGAACTTGCGTCTTCTTTCCTCCAAACCTCCACCCCTTTCTTAGGCTCAGTGGAGGGTCAGATGGATCCTCCTTCCTACCCCTGCTGCTGCAGTATGTCTCCTCTGGTCTTGGCAGGTGGCTGATAGCCTCTGACACAGGCCTCAGCCCTTGGCATGGGCTGCCCTCCCTCCCTTGCTCTGCACTTGCTGTCTCACTGTGTCTCAGACTACAGTAGCACCCCCCTGCTCCCCTCTTTCCAGGCCTGGGGAACCTGCAGCCCTGGATGCAGGGCCTTATTGCTGTGGTCGTGTTCCTGGTCCTTGTTGCAATCGCCTTTGCTGTCAACCACTTCTGGTGCCAAGAAAAGCCGTGAGTGCTTTCTGGGGCCCTCGGGTTTGGGACACCATGGACAGGGTGGCCCCAGGACCATGGCTACTGCTCCAGCAGCAGTGAGAAGGGCCTCAGAAACCCTGAGTCCAGTCCTCTCACTGTGTGGAAGGGACACTGAGGCCCGATGTCTTGGAGACTAAAGCGCCAGCTGGCCAGCTCCCAGACCTGCCTCTGATGGCCCCACAGCTCTGGTGCTCACACACTGTGAGGTCAGGGAAGTGTCTTCTCCTCCTGGAGTCTCAGTGTTTCAATCTGTATAGTTGGGACAGCCGCCCGGCCTGCGATGGGGGCCATAAAAGCCTCTGGAAAGGGAGGCTCTGTCCTTCCTTGGGGTCAGCTGCTGTGCCACATGCTGGGGTACAGAAGGGTAGTTGACAGAGAACTCCTGCATTCCCGACTTCCCAGACTGGAAGGGAAGGCAGACATGGAAGCAGCCATCACAAGTGCAAGTCCTGGTGCTGAGGGGAGTGCAGAGAGCACTGCAGGCCTGGCCTGGTCTGGGGACTAGGATGTGGTCCAAGAAGGCCTCCATCTGATTGCACTTTCTTCCCAAAGCCTGAAGAATGAGGAGGAGCCAGCTTCAGGACAGGGTGGCACCGGAGGGGCTGCAGTGAGGGCAGAGTGCCCCAGGGCCCTGAGTCAGTCATGGCACTGAGGGAGAGGGTTGTGGGCTGAAATCTGGCCCACTCTGCACTTGCCAACCTTGGGGCAGGGCTGCAGCTGCCCCAGCTCTCACTACAGCTCACTGAGGGAACACAAGCACCTCACGGGTGGAGACAGGGTAGGAGAGGTCCCAGGAGAGCTGGTGAGGAAGGCAGGGCCAGGGCGAGGTAGATCCTTCTACACCAATGCCCCAAAATGTGGGCTTCTCCTTAGTGCTGTAGGAATCAAGTGAAAGTTACAAGTGGGTCTATGCCTGAGCCAAATCACTCTGCACCTCGTGGTGGATATGGGGGGTAGGGGCCTGTCTGCAGGTGAGGAGAGCCATGAGGCAGCAGGGCGTGAGGTCAGGGGAGGGTCTGGTCGCTAGCAGTGACAAGGGGATGGAGAGCAGGGACAGGTCTAAGCTGTCTGCTGTGTAGGTGTCAGACTTCCTGGGAGTTGGGGGAGGAGGACAGCGATTGGCCAGAGGGAGGAAGGACAGGGAAACATTCAGCCTTCTGACCACAGCCTAAGACAGAACACCAAAGCAGACCTGGGGCAACTGCTGAGTTTAATCTGGGACACACTAAAGTCTGAGGAGCCAGTGGGATTTCCAAGGAAAGGTGAGCAGCGGTAAGGCTCCCTGTGACCCTCATGAAAGCAGTTTCCTGGGAGGTGAGGGCAGAGGCCCCACTCAGTGGGTTTAAACTTAAATAAGAAGCCAGGAGCTTTTCCCTGCAAGGGTTTCCTTTCTCCACTCACTCAGCTCTGTCTTCAGTGACTGTTGACCGTGCTGCTTCTGCTGCCCAGGAAAGGTCTGTGGAGATCTGGGCAGACCCTGAGTTCTGCTGGATCTGTTCTGGGCTGAGCTGAGGCCAGAAGAGTGAGGGAGACTGGGAAGGGCCTCAGATCAATCTCTTGCTAGTCTTGGGCTGGGACCTGAGGCTGCCACTGTGGAGCAGGGACAAAGGTGTAAGAGTCCAGGGAGGGGGCCAGAATCGGGTGCTGACAGGGGCTTCTGCCAAGAGGCAGCAACCTCTGCCCTTGGACTTATGAAAACTGGAGCCCAGAACAGGGCCTTGCTGGACATGGGGAGGAGGGGGAACAAAAGGGAAAGGGGTCCAGAGAGCCCTACTTATGAACTCTGTCCACAGGGAACCCCAGAACTCTGCCGTGCCCATTGAAAACAAGGCAGACGGGATCCTGGTAGGGACGGAAGGAAAGTACTCCTCAATGGCGGCCAGCTTCAGGTGAGATGCTCCAGGGGCCTATGGGGACCTTGGGACCAAGTGCTTCTGACAAGGGAGTGGGGTGGGGGAAATGGGGACTCATGTGGGGAAGAGCTTAGCGAGGGGAGAAGGTTCAGTGAGGGGAACTGGTGAGCCACAGGGACTTTATGTGGGCTGCAGGGCTCCGAGGGGACAAGAAGCCTTAGTTTGGCGAGAGGGCCCAGGAAGGGGATGGGGACTTGGTGGGGCAAAGGGCTCAGTGAGTGGATTGGGACTCAGGGAGGGGTGCAGTGGGAAAAAGAGGGTTGATGAGGGACAGGGACCCTGAAGGGATGAGTGAAGGGACTCAGAGTGGGGAAAGAGCTCAGTAGGGAGATGGACTCAATGGGGAGGGGTCAGCAGGGACTGTATGGAGGAGGAATGTGGGGTTCAGGGAGGTGGTGCTGAGAAGGGAAGTTGGTGCTCCAGTCTCAGGTGCACAAGACCAGATGTGGTCAGGGGAACCCCCTTCCAGGACTCAAATGTTTTATTCTGAAAGATACTGTTCTCACAAGCACAGGCTGGGGCAGAGAGAGAAGGGGATGGGATGGAAGGTATAATGACCACTGTCATCCTCTTTCAGATCTGATGAGCATGAGAATGCATATGAAAATGTCCCTGAGGAGGAGGGCAGGATGCGGAGCACCCCCATGTGATCCCACTTGCCTGTGGCCACCAGCACCAACCCTGGGTGCCTGGAATCAATGCCCCTCCTCTGGGCAGGAATCTACTGTATTAGGCTGACTCCTTGAACCCAACCCTGCCTTGAATTGTCCCAGCCAAGTTCAGAACTCAGACTGCGTCTAGGTTAGGGCTCAGCTGTGGCTCTGGGGTCTCCTGGTAGCTACTCAGTTCAATTCCGTAGGCCCTTCTGAAAGAGACAGTCAGCTCAGCACCTCCCATCCTGCCTCACATTTCCTTCCTTCACTGTTGAAATGGCCCTTATTTCTGTGAAATAAAGACTTTTTGTACTTCCAAGGCTGAGGCTCCAGGCTCAGAAACAGCCCCTCATGCTTCCAGACAGCCCTTATCTTGCTTTCTGCACCATGACAATCACCTTCCAAAGTCACCGTCGTGGTGGCTTTGGCAGATTACCCAGGAAGTCCTCTCTGGGAAGTCCTATGGGGCCAGGGAGCTCTCCCACTCTACCCTTACTCCAGGCAGCACCGACCCCCTCCTCCATGCTGCCTGGCATTGTGGCACTGTGGTGGGCTCACTTATCTCTCATCCATTCAGCCCTAAGCCCGCCCCTGCCCCCTGCATAGCCTCTCTCACTGGGCTTTGGGTGTAGGGAGCACCAGGAAAGTCTTGGGCTAGGATTTAAGAAGCCCAGATCTGAGTCCCCACTCCTCTCCTGACTTGCTATGTGACTTTGGGAAAATCTCTGTTCTCTCTGAACAGCAGCTTCCCCTCTGTGGCAGGTTTGGCCAATGTCACCACAGACTCCCAGTCCAGGGGTGGGGATGGAGTCAGGGTCCCAGGGAGAATGAAGCTGGCAGGAGAGGAGAGAGGAGACATGACTCAGCAGCTGGCTGACCCTGGAGGCCCCTCACCTCCAAGACTGTCATTCTACCGGGAACAGCCTCTGTCTCTATGGCGTGACAACCTGAGTCAGACTGACCAGGGAGCACTCCCAGATGCAGAGCAGTGCGGCTGGAAGGGAGGAGGCAGTCCACCTTGTCCCCAAGATTTCCCTCTAACCCCCGTCCCAACCTGTCACAGCCCCCTCGCTTCCCCATTACAGCCATTTCTCTGCTATTCAAAGGCTTCACTCAAATACCTCCAGGGAGACCCATCTCAAGTCTGAATTATCCCTTCTCTTTTCCCTGGGGTCCAGTTTGCAGCCTACAGCAGTGGGAAGAGCCCTGAGCAGAGGGATGGCAGGATCTTTGTTCCAGGCCCATGCTTGCCCTGCTGTGTGAACTCGGGGCAAGTCTCCTCTCCTCTCTGAGCAGCTCAGTGAATTATGGCCATAGCTCTTGTGAGTTCCATTCTAGGCTTTTGCTTCAGTGGTGATCAAGATAAATTTCAAGGTTACTTCACACAGAGTATCCTGAGCAGACACACCGCTTGCTGGTCATGCTTCAAGGAGCCATCACCTGGGTCAATGCATTCTCACCCACCTCAGTCAGTTTAAACTCGGCATATTTCTTTTTTCCTGGCCCAGCCAAGGTTCCTCTTCCTCTAGGAAATCTTCCTTGATTAAACCAGAGGGCAAAGCTAGGGGACCAGCCAGCCAGCCTCTCACCTACTGAAGGGGAGACATGGAGGTACCTAGAGGGCCTCGGCTGAGGTACAAGCACACACTTCTTCCTCTCCAGACTCCTGGTCTGGACCTTTTGGCTATCTCGATCGGATTCTCCTTGCATGAAGCTACATTCCCTCTCACTGCTGCCCCCAAGTTGTCCCTGATGGATGGGATGGGCTTCAGTCTGGCCCCCAACCGGCCTGCTAGGGTCCAAAGGCAGAGCCACCACCCTGCTGTCTCCCTGCTGCAAGTGAAGCCAGCCCCTCTCACCTGTGAAGTTTTACCAGGTGGATTGGGTGTGCAGGGGCCTGCCTTGGTTCCTGGGGCAGGTCCCCAGCCCTCTGCCTGGACCTCCTCAGCCCCCTCTTCATGCTGGCAGGGGGACTCTGGGGGTCCTTGCAGGTGCTGGGCTGGCACTGACCTTCCTTCCCCCCACCCCCTTGTTCCTGCCCTGACAGGGGCAAGGGGCATGGAGCTGTGGGCCCCAGAACTGATGGAGCCCCTAATCCTTATCGCTAGTTCCCACCTGCCGGCCTAGCCAGATGAGAGAGGGGAAGGAGGCTGGGCCCGGGCCAGGGCGGTGCTTAATGACCCTCTGGGGGCCTAATCTCAGACTGGCAGCCGCTGAGTGGCTCAGGCTTGCTCCTGGAGGAGGCTGATAACGCACCATCTGGGCCCCCGACCATCTATCGGGGTAGCACACACAGTCCCGAGGGGGCGGTGCTCACCCGGGCTGGGGAACGGAGCCTCCGGGCTGGGAGCGGGGCGGGGCGGGGGGTGGTGGTGGTGGTGTGTGTGTGTGTGTGTGTGTGTGTGTGCTCTCCGCCCCCGGCCCCTGGGGGAGGGGATTCTTAGCTCTTAGAGTGACAGCTGAGGGGGAGGGCCCCGGCCGACCGAGCGGTAGGACCAGAGCGGAAGAAACCCCAAAGGACCAGGGCTCCTTCACTCCTTCCCGCTCTCTCCCCACCCTTCCCTCCCCATTTAGGACCTCTCCCACCCAGACCCGGTGTCTTCTTCCCTCTCCCAGCCTTTTTCTATCTCCGATCTCCAACAGTCTGTTTTTGTCTCTTTCTGAGTGCGTCTCTTTGGCCTCCATCTCCTTGTCTCCGTCCCCTCTGCCCCTCTTCCCTCCACCTGAGCTCACCGCTCACCGTCCCCTCTCCGCCCGTGTATCCTTTCTCTATTTTCCAGCTGGTTCTCCCCGCTGGCTCTTCTCCCCTGTGTCCCCGCTGTTCCGCCTTCCACACCTTGTCCAAGCTGCCCTGATGTGGCCATAGGTGGGGAAAATGCCCTAATCTCATTGGAGACACTTCTGTGTGCGGTATCATTTCCCCCGATCCCTCCGCCTGCTCTTTGGGTGGAACGCTGAGGTTGCCCAGACCCTGGTTCTAGGACCAGCAGGTTCTCTTACTGCTGTAGGACATTCTTGCTCCTCCTACTTCCTTGAACGGGACTAGGACCTTTCTTTCTCCTCCCCTACCTAAAACATATGACTCTCACAGGGTTACAAAGTAGATTACACCCAAATTCAGGCACTGAAGCCTCTACTCAGGAACTGCAGATTCGTAGATGGCGTCACAGCTTACTTCGGTTAGACCTGAAAAAGAACTTTCAGCCTGGAGTTCTATCTTGAGTGTCACCTGTTATACATAGGCCGGAGTGCCAGGTGAAAGAGATGATTCCCAAGGTTACTTCACTCATGCTCAGGGTATCACGAGCAGAAATACTCCTGGCTTTTTGTGCTTCAAAAAGCCACCAGACTGGGACTACTCCTGGGCAGTCTCCTCTAGCACAGGGTAGAGCTGGGGCATGGGGTGCAGAGTGCCACTAGGAGGGGATGTGACCCAAGTCACACACACTTTGCCCTGTTCCCTTGGACCAACCTCACAGGTGAATCAGATGGCTAGAGCTGTCAGACTTGCTCTGGGACCAGGACAGGAGGCACCTGCTTCCCCTCCAGACCTGACCTAGGGCCTGGACGCCCTCCCAATTTTCAGTCCCTGGAAGTACACACAGTGGCCAAGAGTTTGAATTTGACAATCTTCCAGTCTTGGGTTTGGATTCCAGCTGTGTTCCTCACTGTTCGTGGGACCACTTATTTAGATGCTCCATTCACTTGTCAGTAAATTGGTTCTGTCATGTATTTCCTGTAGGGCTGCTGGGAAGAGAAGAGATCTTGGGTGTTGTTATCACACCCGAGACTTGCCAGAAGACCCTCGAGGCTCAGCGTACATGTCACTTCGTCTGGGAAACTCCTTCCCTAACCATGGGTCAGGTGCTTCCTCTGGGCTACTCCAGCCTTCTCTGCACTCACCCCGACTTGTCTGTTTCCTTGTCTGTGTTCAGCTCCAGCCTAGGTCTGATTGCTCCTCAAGGGCAAGAATGGGTTAACTTCCCTCTCTGTGTCTCCAGCACCCAGGACAGGGCTGGACTCAGAAAAAGGGAAGCCCTAGGCTTGGTGAAGAGACCCAAAGGAAGGGACTAAACCTCCGTCCTCTGTCCAGCTGTAAGTCTGTCCATACCCCTCAATCATGGCACACCCATGCACATTCTCTCTCTCTTCTCCCCACCCTGCCCCCTCTCTAGTTCAAGGTCCTGGGATCAATGAGAAGCTTCTCCTGAGCATCACTGCTCCATCTGATCTTCCATTTTTTAATTTGTTTGGTAGGGTTATTTATTTATTTATTATTTTTTAGGGGTAGGGTGCTCTCTGTCTGTAACTTGGGCTACCATCTGGTGGCTGCACTCTCAGCAGAAAAAGCAGATTCAGCAGAGCTTTTGAACTTGAACTTCAGGTGGGGCTCTTCCCTCTTAAACATTGAGACCAGAGATCCCTAGGAACTCCCACAGATTGTTCCAGCTTCTTGCTCAGTCTTCACATGGGCTTCAAGGGCAGCCAGGCCTCCAGCGACCCCTCCTTGTTGCCCAAGAGGCCAAGTCCATGAATACCTCTTTCTAAGCACTACTGGTGGGGGCCAGGCTCTTGAGGGCTTAGTCTTCTTGGTCCTGATGACACATCTACCTTTCTCTCAGAAATGGTCTGGGAGCCCAGAGGCTTCTACCCTGGGGCATTATTTTGGAAGACAAGAGACTACCACATTTTGGTGCAGACCTTGGCCCCTGGAGAAGCAGGAGAGAGAGAGAGAGAGAGTTTAGTCAAGGATGATGAGTCCCAGTACCATTCTGAGCGAAGTGGAAGATGGTGGAGCCAGGGAGACTGCACCGGGTTGTGTGGATCATGTCCACCCTGACCAGGCCCTGAGAGCTGGCTTGGGCCTCCATCAGCCTGCAGAGAGGGGTGCCTATTTCTGATGCTCACAAAGGACCCATGTAGGCTAGTGAATGGAACTGAGAATGGCAAGTCCCAGAGGACAAGCAGGAGTATGTATGTGGGGTGACAGTGTGGGACTCAGGATCCTGTGAGACATCAGCGGAAGATGGAGGAGGACAGCTGGGGATATAGTTCAGGTCTGAAGTTCAGTTGAACAGTTAGTAGTTGAGCCAGAGGTTTTGCCTTCAATTGGGAGGTTCAGAGCCCAACTGAAGTCTGGGTCAGGCAGCCTGGATACAGCACTGCCCTGACACTTAGGATCTGTGACCTTGGGTAAATCAACTGCACTCACAGAGCTCCCATTTACTCACCTGTTTAATGCACCTGGGGGCATTAAACAGTGGCTCTCTAATATGAGATGTTGTGACAATTAAAAGCAACAATGCATGTAAAATACAT